GATCAGTTTATTATTTAATTTTTTAAAATAATAAAAACTCAATATAATACTTAAATTTAGGTTATGTGTAGTGATAATAGTAAGGAATATAAAAATTTTGAACTACAATAATATTTAGAAATTAATGAAATTATTAACCAAATTACTTGTCACCTCGATAAAATAGGATTGATGAAAGATTTTTTTAGAAGTTGTTCACGCTTTGTTAATTGAGACACACATGTTATTAGGGAGAAACTCTTAATTCAACATTATATTTAATAAATCAGATTCCTTCAACTTCTATTGAATTTAGGACACATTTTAAAATTTTATATAATTTAATTGTCAATCCAATAATTTCTAACTTACCCTTTCATATATTTGGCTGTGTTGTCTTTGTTCATCTTCATAAGCATTAACACAACAGGTTGAAATAATCCCCACGAGCATGGTTTCAAAGGTTTACAAAATTTATGACAACATTTGAATATCATCAAAGTAATTCATATCACACTTTGTTCTTGAAGAAACAAAAAGGATACGATAATTACATTTATTGTATATGTGGATGATATAATTATTATAGAAAATTATCAAGAGGAAAGTAAAACATTACAAGAGTATTTTTCAAAAGAATTTGAAATTAAAAATCTTGGTTTCTTAAAATATTTTCTTTGGATTGAAGTATTTAGATAAAAAAAATGATCTTAAAGAAAATATGTCGAAGACTTGTCACTACGTCGACTTAGTGAATACACCAATGGATCAAGGTTTGTAATTATCTATTACATTATATCAAGTCCCTTACATGCATTTATTTATAATCCTGAAAAGTAACATATGAATGTCGTTATACACATTCTAAGATATATAAAGTCAGCATAATGAAAAATGATTATACGAAAAATACAAATTATTAACAAATTGATGTATATACTGATGTTGATTGAGCTAGATCATTGGAAGATAGATAATAAACAAAGTATGATCTCTCATTCAAGTGCAGAAGTTAAGTTTAAAAGTTTTACACTTGAAATTTGTGAAGGTTTATGACTAAAATTTCTCTTCCAAGATCTTGAAATATTATGAGAATAAAACTGTTTGTTATATTACTCATAATCCAATTCAACATGATCAAATAAAATATGTTAAAATGGATATATTTTTTATCAAGAAAAAATTAGAAGAAAAAATTGTAGAATTTTTTGTGACTCGCAAAGAAGATTAATTAACTAATATCCTATCAAAGGTTATGTCAAATAAAGAATTCTCAAAATATCTTACCAAGTTGACATATGAGATTTATATGCACCAACTTGAGAAGAAGTGTTGAGATTTAATTTCTTTTTATTGTTGTTTTAAGTATGGTGGCAAAATGGACTAGGTCGGCGAACTTAGCGGGATGAGTTGGTAGTTTTAATCTGGTAGCCCGTTTTGATTGTTTTAGCGGGATGAACAGACTCGCTATAAAAAAATATTTATATATTAAAATTTAAATAAAAAAATTATAATTAAAAATATTATAGTTTATGTGTTATGCTATTAAAATATGTAAATATATTATAATATTATAATTAAAATTATAAAAATTAATTAATTAAATTTAAATTATTTATTATAATTATTTATTTTGATATATAAATATAATATTTTTTTAATTAATCTAATAAAAATATTAATTAATAAATAAAAATTTAAATTTATTCATATAATTAAAGATATATTTTAAAAAAATACATATAAAAAATTTTATTTTAAAAAAATATTATCCGATCAACTCATCTTTTGGCGAGGTGGGCTAGGGTATATGGCACATCCATACTATGGTGGGTCAAAATGGGGCAAACTTACCCATTTTGTCATATTTAATTGTAAGATATTATTATACAGATTTTGTGATATGTAGTTAGAATTTGTATAGTTAAAAAATGTTCTACTTTCCAAATAGTGCACAAAGAGTGTGATGAAAAAATCCTCTTTGATGTGAGGGAGCGTGTGAAGAAATCTCACGTCAACTAAAGATACATAACATTATATTATACAGGTAAGTGTAATTCTTACTTTATTGAATCGATTTTGTAAAATTAGGTTAAGTATCTCATAATTGCTAAAATGATAGCATAACTAACTCTAGCAATATTGAGACATTAACTATTAATAGTGGTGGACTTAACTACCACTCATTCTCAATATTAGAAAGTATAATGAAAAATCTTCCTTAATATAAGGAGATATGTTCGTCTCTACTACAAATATGATAACATTATAGAATATAAGTGATTACAATATTCATCTTACTGAGATGATTGATAAAATTAAGTTAAGAATCTCACCATTTATAAAAATAAGAAAAATTTATTTTATAATTATCATGTAATAATAAAATATTTGTGTATTTAAACTCATCTATGTTTTTTTTTAAATAATGTCAATTTTATGATATAACGTGAAGATAATATAATTACACTATTATAACAGTGAATTAGTAAGATTGATAGAATATTCCTCTTGAACCTAATCTGAAAAAATAATTTTGACAGCGTAACTGTAATATGGATAATTAATTAATATGACTTGCAAAATGGTTTAGAAAGTCAAAAGTTGAAAAATCTCTTAAAAATTTTATCTTTAAAAGTAAAGATTAGAAAATCTTTGGTACAATCTATACAATAGAGGCTAAAAGTGTAGTTACCATATGTGAGGTCATAAGTGTCCATCAATACTATTTAGATTAAAATTTTCATTTTCCAATTGTACTAGGTGATACTGGTTGGAAAATGGCCTAAAAATAATACAAAAGGACTTTGTATTTAATGGGCTATATTATTTTGAAAATAAGATAAGCTATTTTTGAAACTACTTAAATTCTTTTGTTCTTTTTAATAAGTGTGTAATGAAGTTCATTTACGTTTTAGCCTCGTTAGTTGGTACTACATTCAAAACTGTATACTTCATATATGCCATTAATTAGTTAATATCTTCTTTAATGTTTTCTGATTCAGTTGTAATTTTGTTTTAATTTGGATCAACACACTGCACTCACTGTATGTTGTGATTCAAATATAAAAATTATTAAAAAAAATTAAAATTGATTTTCGATCAAACTAATCTATTTATTTAATACTTAAAAAAACAACACCAAAAATAATTCGATTTATTAATATCATAATTATAAAAGGGATTTAATAAAAATAAAAATATTTTCAAATTATTATTATAATAATATTAAAACCAGTTCTCGATCAAATGTTTAACAAAATATAATTGTCAAAATAGTTTTTTTCTTATAATAATGTCACGGTAAATTATTATATTTGAAATTATTTACTCCATCACAATTTTATCTTTAAATAATATCTCGTTGATTATCTATACTCTTCTATTAATTAATCATGTTGATTGAAAAAAAAACATTTAAAAATAAGTAGTGAATTAAGAAATATATATTATGTATACAGACTAAAATATATTACTACAAAATAAAGTAAATGATATTAAATAATATTTATGGAGATTGCAAAGGAATGATTTTTAACTATGCATGTATAAACTATTTGCATGTATAAACACTAACATAGTTAATTTATATATAACAAAAAAAAACTATTTTTTTCTTATTTTAACTATTGCAGCATAATACTTTCAAAAATTGGTCATATAATATCTAATTGATAAGGGAAGTGCAAAATTGGATAACATGAAAGACTAACTATGCAGTTGAAATTCATGACAATTGAAATAACAGGGAGGTATTTAAGTGTCTGTAGTTTTTTTTTTTTTAATTTGAAAGGATAAATCATTATTTTCATAATTAAAAATGTCAATAGATAATAATTTAATTATTTAATAAGAAAAAATATAAATGAAAACAAAAAATATAATAATTAAACCATATTAAATCTTATTATAAAACTATTTAGATGTAACGTCTGCGTACCAATTTAATATTAAATTGTATTTTAAAAAATTAAGTTGATATTGAAGTGTAAAATTTATAGAATAATTTATTATTGTATACGTATTCAAACCTTATATATATATATATATATTTAATTTTTTTATTTTAATATAAACGTGACATACTAAAAAAATATTACAAAAAATTGTAATTAAATACAAAATTATTCTAAAAAGAAATTAATCATTTTTAATTAAATCTATGATAAAGAGTCACGTAAAATTTGTAGTTTACTTTTTCTTGGGATTGATTCAAAATAAATTAAAAAAAAAACTTTAATCTTTTATATATTTTTTAATGTAAATATAAATGAATAATATTTATCAATCTTATGTCTTAAAAACATGGACACCTAATAATAAAATAAATTTGTTCACCCTTCTCCTCTGCCATCCAAACACATCTCTCATTAAAAGCTTACTAACAAAAAAAACTTAACCAACATAATAGTTTGAGAGAGGGATTATGAAAACCATAAAATTATATATACCAGGTTTTGTCTTGCTTATGAGTTACTCATCATGCATGAGCAGCATGTATGAAGTGTGTCAGTGTACTCTGAATTCTTATTTGCCTTCTCTTTCTCCTTCAACAAACGCGTGATCCTTTCTCTCTCTCTCCTATTTTTCTCCTACCCTATCATCCCTTTCTCTCTTTCTGTCTCAATATTCCTTTTCACCTCTTCTTATTTGGAGAGATCCATGCTGACGCCATATCCATTCTCTCTCATGGGCAGGAAAAACACCAATCCCCATTCACAATTGATGACCCTCTTCTCCCTTTTCTCAATTGGTCTCTCTTCATCCGTACTTTTCCATGAAACTCACTCATTTTGTGCCTTTGGACTCACTCACCCTCATTCGCGTACTTTGACTCATGTTATACCACGTTACACAAACCTCCATGTAACATTACTTTATGTGTCACGACATTTTCATACATAAAATATCTCACCTCAACCCTATCAGTTACACATGTCTCACACTATATAAACTCCAACTATGCTTTCATTTCTTCTGTTAACTTCTCCCCGGTAATTCTCTTCGCAGCATATATCAACATGCAAGTCATGAAATCAGTTACTCAAGTGGAAGCAACACCGCTGCCACCACCCTCTTCCTCGCTGTCACTAGGGCTTAACATGATGAGACCCTACGAGATGGTGCACCACTTGGTGTCATGCAACGCCGTCGTGGTGTTTAGCATGAGCGACTGCTGCATGTCCACCGTGGCCAAGCGCCTCCTCTTCAGCCTCGGAGTCGGCCCCACTGTGGTGGAACTGGATGAGCAGGCCGATGGTCCAGGCGTCCGGTCCGTCCTCCACCAGCTTGCTGGGGCTCACCAGCCCGTTCCTGCTGTCTTCATTGGCGGCAAGTTTCTTGGTGGGGTGCAAACCCTCATGGCCAGTCACATAAATGGCACCCTAGTTCCACTCCTCAAAGAAGCTGGAGCTTTATGGCTTTGAATTCACCTTCTTTTTTGTTATTGTTTATGTTAATCTAGACTTAAACATAAACAAGGTATGTCACATAGGGCTTTAGGGATGGTATTGATAGAAGAAGATGAATATATGATAGATTACACAATTTAACCTGTATTTTACTTTATTATTTTGAATATTTAAACCAATGTTTACTACTTTTAACTGTTAAATTATACAATAGATGGTTATATATAATTCACTCGTGTATTTTTTAATACGATTTTTATTTAGTTTTGTTCGAAAAAACATATAATAAAGGTTGATTTTTTTAATTAAAAAAAAATTGTCACCATACTAAATAACATTAATTATTGAAAGGTATGCGTGTAAATGGTTACGAAAAACACTTACAGAAATAAAAGAAAATGAAGACAATAATATATCCTTGTTAGAAAATTGATGAACATGAGCTTATGAAGTATAGTGAAGGTGTTTTATATAGTTTAACCTAAATTACTTTTGTGAGACGATTTTAAAATAGAAAAAAAAAAATGAATTTTTAAAAGGATTAAAAAATAAGAAACAAAAATAACTGTACAGCGTTGTAATATGTTTGAATAACGAAATGATGATGGTTAGTTTGTTTTAGTATGCATGGCGTGCTATGCGGATTTTAAGAAGAAATGTTGAGCCAAATTGGGTATCTTTGATTCGTTCACTTTTTCTTCTGTGGTTTGTTATTTTTCTGAGAAAGGCTGCAGAATGACCTCAGGCTGTCATACATGGTCATCGCATGTGATAAATCGCCTAATCATTTAGGTTTTAAATTTGGTATACAATCAAATAAATTCAACATTTATATTAAAATAGAACGCTAAATCCTTAATCTAATTTTTGTCTGTAGTTTATAAAACTGTTTTTATTTATATGAAACTTATAAAATTGAAAAATATTAATTAGAAATAATTAGTGTTATCTTTGAAGTTTACTATTATTTACTTTTCGAAAGACAATTAACGTGTAAAATTGATAATGATGATAATAAAGTAGATGACATAAAAATGCATGGGAATAAAGGTGAAGGGATAAGGCATGGGATGCAGAGAAAATGATTAACATTTGGTTATTTTTTATTTTTTATGTTTCTTTTATTTTCGGAAATCCGCAACGAAAAATCATGACCAGGATATGAAATTTGACCGTGATTCGTCTTTCCGTTCATGGAAATGTGAAGACATCAGAAGCACAGAAAGTGATGTGATTGTGACCTTTTTCGCGAATCCAATCTCTCTTTCTCTGCACCCTCGCTTGCGTTTTCTTTGCATTATTTGACCCTTTTTTCACCTTCTTTCACTCCCACCGCGCATCAATTCCTTATTAATAAAATCATATTTTAATACTTATTTATTATATGAAAAATTGAATTATAATCCACATAAAAACGAGTATGATGATTATTATTATTATGAAAATTGTTCTTATCGGAGTTTTTAAGAGATGTGCGAGATGTGTAGGTAATATTATTGAGTGATTTCTTCTAATTTATTAGTTCTTTTATCGTGACGGTAAGAATCACATAATATATATGTTCATTTATTAACATTTTTTCTACATTACTAGCACTTGACCTGTCCAAGTAACTTAGGTATTCAATATAGTAAGCATTAAGAATATAATGGTATATATTTATAAACTTGCATTAATAATAAAGAGACTATTTTTAAAAATGTTTTTTAACTTTTTATATTTTAAAATTAAAAAATTTATTCGATAATTATTTTATTAAAAATAAGATTTAGAAACTATTTTATTTTTTAGTTTTTAAAAATTAAAATATCAAAATTGATTAAAGCAAAATCAATTGTTTATTTCGAAAAACGTTAAGGGTGTTACAATTAAGTTGACAAAATTGACTACCATTGATGATGAATGAATATTTATCTAGTTGGATAAGTAAATGAGAAAATTTTTGGAACAGTTTAAGACAAAAATGATTAACTATTTGACTTTACTTGATAGAAACAAAGTTATTTTCTTGTGATGAATGAAACCGGTTCTAGAAATAGTTGATTTGATAGATAGAAATAAAGTTATTTTTAAACTTGATATTTTCAGAACATCTTTAAAAAAAATTAAATATTTTATTATGAATCTTATATTTATTTAAAATTAAATACAAATAATTAAAATTATGGATGGAGGAGCCATGATGATACATTTTTGTTTCAATGGATTTGAGGAAACTTGTGAGCACTGATTTGATAGAAAGTATTATGAAAGTTTTCCTAATTGGACGAAGAGATTAGTTGAAAAATACAACTCATCCCATATGTATTTATATTTTTACCCCTCTCCATCTTCACGTAAAATAATTATGTATAAGCATAACATTCAGAAAGAGTAGCGACAGAGGACAAAACTTTTACATGTAAGGAATCATTGCAGAGATTGTTGTTCACCTACATGCACACAACTACAACTTCAATGGAGATTCGTCCCACGTCGTGTTGACCATGACCATGGTTGTTGGAGGTAGGACACTATTAAATACCCGTTAAAGGAGACTTTTGTGGTGTGTTAAATTTGTAAGGTGTGGGTCATATTTGATACATTGCTTGTTTGAGGTTCAATATTCGTAATTATAATTTAGTTATGTGTTTGTATCGGTCGATAAAAGTGGTGGAGAAATAATTTTGCGTGACAATAGTAGTAAATAATTGATTATTATCTTTCTTTTTAAAGTTATGATTTTTTTCTGTTATAATTAATAGTAATTTTTTTTGGATTTATACTTAAAAATTTATCTTTATCTAAAATATAATTATTATATATAACTTTACTATATATTACTTTCTTATTTTTAATTAAAATATTTTTTTATTAGACAGATTAAAAAAATGATGAATCCACTCATACAATATAGCAATTCATAAGAAGGTCATGCATAGCATAAAACCTTCACAGTTGAGTCATGTCTACAATATTGAGTTGTCTTTTGGTATATTTGTCACATATAAAGAAAGTAGCGCACTCAGAATTGAAAAAAAAAATTTGTTCTTCCTTTGTAAATATATTTTAAATGTTTTATAAATTATTTTTGTAAACAAATTAATCAATAGTTATAAAAATTTAAATATTAATAAATAATTTAATTTGTAACTTTGTTAATTTATTATTTTATTAAAAATAATTATTTTATATATAATTATCCTATCAATAAATTATATATATATATATATATATATATATATATATATATATATATATATATACTGTAACATAGTTTATTAAACATCATAAAAAGGTATTTTAAATTAAGAAAAATATAATAATAAACCTATTAAATTTAAATAAAAATGTTGATATTAAAAGCGTCAATAAACCAGTTGAAAAATATTACTTCTGTATCTGATGGTAATATATATTTAAACGTTTGTTTCTAAATTTTAGATGTTAGAAAAGATAAGATGACGTGTTTCTAAATTATAAAATTTGAAATGGAAAAGATAAAATTCATGTGATCACACTTTTCTATACACACCTTTCTGATTAGAAGATTTTCAATAAACACAACATTCTAATAAAATTTTAGTTAATATGTAAATCATTTATAATTAAATATTATATTTTCAAGTTATGAAATATAATTAAAAGGCTAGTGTTTATTTTAGAAAAGATTAGACAAGTAATTATGTATTTATTTTATAACACTTTTCAATAAACTGAGACTTGATATTTAATTATTAAGTTATTCTATATATATATATATATATATATATATATATATATATATATTTTAAGTTATTATTAGTAAACTATTGCAAGTGTTATTTAATATTAAATAAATCATAAATTTCTTTGTATAAAATGTCATCCATCCTAATAATACATGCAATGTTAAACTAAAAATTTAGAATTTATTATAAAAAATTATTCACTTCATGCATAACATATTTATTTTTAAACTCAATATATATTATTTTTCTAATATTGTGTAAAGGTTAAAAAACTACACAAATACCAATGGGAAAATCTTGTATATTCTTACGATTTTGTGATTGATAGACAATTGATAAGAGTGGGTTGGAGAAACATTCTTTTTAATTAATTTAATCTTTTGCTTAAAATATAAAAAAATTAAAGAATTAAAAAGTGATATGAAAATAAAAAAAATTAACTATTGAATTTCGATCTCAAGATAATTCACAAAGTTTAATATTTTTTATAATATCAAATGTCAATTTGTTGCCTAAGAAGAAGACCATAGCTTTGAAATAAGTAAAAATTAAAAAAGTAATAAGACTGTATATGATATTTCTTTAATATTTAATGCAGGCATGATCTTTTTATAGTCGTGAACATGTATTTTTTTAATGTTTAATTAGTTTTTACACTATTATCCAAATTTATATAAAAAGAAATTGAATTGACAAAAGACGTAGATGGAAGTTTAAGTAAAAAATAAAATAAAATTGGGAGTAATATAATTCTATTTCAATCCTGATTTTATATTTTTTTTCAGCATTATATTTAACTCTAAACTTAAAAACATTAACTATTTTGTTCAGTATTTCTTTATTTTTCTCAGGTTAAGTATATATTTGTTTGTTTTCTAAGTTTTCTCTCACCCACCCTCACTATCTCCCTCCCTAAATCTTTTTAATTAATTAGTTCAACCCACTCTTTCCTTTTCTCTCACTTTTTTTAATCTTTTCAAGTAATTTGGTTTTCTCAATTATTTTAATCTTTGATCATCAATTTTATTTTTTTAACCTTTGACCAATATATAAATTTAATTTTTTAATTCTTCATCTTTATAAACATATTGTACATCAATATTAATAGCATGTAGCATGATTTTATTTTTAGCTTTAGTTTATCTTATTAATTTTTATTATGTCAAGTTTCATAAATTTTATTATTTTACATTAATTAAATAAAAAATAAATTATTATAAATTATATATTTAATACTTATTAATATTTTAAAATAATAAATCTAATAAATAATTAACTTATATATAATAAAATATTTGAGAATATAATAATATAATATATAAATTTTATATCATATTAAGAAAGTGTTTTTTTTCACATACATATTTTTATATAAATATAATAAATTAAAATATATATTTAATTAATAAAATTAATTTAAAAATTATAAAATTATAAATACTTATTTATCTATTATAAAAGAAATAACATTATAATTAATATATTACAATTTTATGTATAATTATTTTAATAAATAACATGCAGAGAGTTAGAGATGGAGAAATCTAAAACTGGGACGAGGAGAGAGACTAATTTCTAATCCCAACCGCTATCCATTTAAAAAAAATATTTTATTTTATTTTTTTCAAATAAAATTACTTTAAAATTATTTTAAAAATATATATTTTAATAAATTATATATCATAAAATATTAATATAAATAAAATTAATCTTATAAAATATTAATTCAAATAAATTGTTGTACAAAATAAATTTAAATAATATAAAAAAAACGGTTGACAAAACTCATCCTCACCCATCAGCTCGGGTTTGCTGTGAGACCTATAAAAAAATTGAACAACTCAATTTTTTTAGCAAGTTGACTTACAAGTTAAATAACCATCATGCATTGACTACAACATTACAGAATCCAAATAATTTAGCTATGGCGTAAGAGAATCAATATGATTAATCTTAAAAAAATGTTTCAATAAGTTTAATAAAAAAAATGTTTAAAAAGTATCTACGATCTTGTTTAAGAGGAAAGTAATAGCATACTGGTACAGTTTCAGTTGGAAATTCAAATGACAAGCAAGTTCAATGCCAGCTGCCTTAAACCTTACACTTAATTCTACAAAGAATCTTGATGATGCCAAACAAAAGACATTACATTATAAAAAAAAAATTTCAGTCGATCAAATGCTATAAGATGATTTCAATAACATGCCTTCAATTTCGTCAGATAATGGCGTTTGAACCATAAAATTCCATCATCTTTTATAAATTTGCTTACCAGTCTTAAATTTGAGCAAACCAACACACAAAGTCCTGATTTAATTGGTAAAAGGCAAATAAAACATAAAATACTAAAGTAGCGGCAAATTCAGTCACATCCCTAAAAAAAAAATGTCGTCACATTTGTGGCCTATTTATGATACATATCATCAATAAAACCAAACAATGCAGACAATGCATGCACAATCCTTCACTAACCTGTAGGTGTAAAGGCTCAAAATCAAGGCACATTAGCATCATTCCTTTAGTTAAAAGATTAGATGTAACACTGTACTTGGAAGATAAGACGAACAAGAAAAGAAATTCAGGGTGGAGTTGCACCCAACCCCAACAAATTCAAAGAATGATAATGCCGACAGAATTGTCAGCACAATATGTGGAAAAAAAATGAATATAAATTAAAAACTTCATAATGAAGGTGATTTTATTGGTTACCAATAGAGTAAAATCAAGAAAGTTAGTACCAATTGTAACTTCCCCCAGTCCATCCCAACCAGAGTTGTCAAATCTAGATGCAGTGAACCTATGATAAAAATGCCTTGGGTAATCCTCCTGAATTAAGTGTTTCATATGAACCTTCCTTGTCTTAGAGCTTGTATAACTTCCACCGGTTCAAATTTCAATACATGGTGTTACCAAACACCTCCAAGATTCCCACTGTTCCTTTTGGACATCGAAGGAGAGAGAACTCTCAAGGATGCTCTCTATCATCCAGCTAATATGTTTAATTTTCTCTAGAATCATAACTTTTAATGTCTCTTTCTTCAACAAGAGCCTTTTCTTTTTCACAAGCTTTACCCGTATCATGATGTACATAGCTATATCTCATCTCATGTAATCAGTAGTCTCTTTCTGAAGTCTTATAGAGGCATAAAAGGAGATTGGGCCAAAGAAGCTATAAAGTCTCAAGAGTACCTTATGTGTAACAGCTTATCTCCTGTACGGTTTCAATTGATAACTCTGAAACTCTGAACCAAAAGTTATCGATTCTTCATCAAGCTTCTTCTTCAATCTCCTCCAAGTTCTCAACATATCAGCCTGAATAAGCCCCCTGTACAGGGTCTCAAAGGTACCTTTCAGAGGAAGAAACCCATTCTCTATCATCTCAACAAAATAATGGCAAGCCTCCCTCCAGCACTGCCTCTCACACAACCCATGTATCAAAACCGTATACAAATCCAAATCCGGCCCCGCCCCAGTCACCTTCATATCATTCCATATTTCCTTCACAACTCTGACCATGTCCAACCTCAAAAACATCCTAATCAAAATCACATAGGTATGCGAGCTCGGAGAGCACAACCCATCCTCCTTCATCCGCTTAAACATCCTCAAAGCACTTTCAGCATCCTTCCTCCCTCTATATTCCTTAAAGAAGCAATTATAGGTAGCGGCACACGGACTCACTCCATCCTTCACCATCTCCTCAAGCAACCTCTCTGCATCCTCAAGCCTCCCACACGAAGCAAGACACTTAATAACCGAGGTATACATCACCACATTGGGAAATATCCCTTTCTCCTTCATCAACCTCAGCTTATCAAGCACCAGCTCTGGCTTATGCGCGCGGCTATAAACATGAAGCAAAATCGAAAAGCTAGTCACATCGGGTTCAATTATGTTCTTACGCATTTGATCAAACACCTCCTCTGCATTCCTTATAGTCCTCTCAAACCTCTCCTCAGGGTGCAAACTCACCTTCCTACAAACCCCATTCAATAAAACGTTATAAGTAACAACATTAGGCTCAATGCCTCGTTCAATCATTTCGTTCAGAAACGTTTGCGCCATTTTAACCTTCCCCAGCTTGCACCACCCGTAGATCAAAACGGTGTACATTTTCACGTTGGGAGGGAAACTGATTTTGTTTCTGTTGAAAACCTCGACAGCGAGTCTGACGTGGCCGTACTTACAGAGCGTGTCGAGCAGGAAGCAGAAGTCGTCCGGAGTCGTTTGGGTAAACGCGTCGATGTCGTGGAAGGCGCGTACGGCCTGGCGCGTGAGGCCGGCGGCGACGAGACGGCGAATTAGGGTTAAGAAGGTGGCGGAGGTTGGAGCGAGATTGCACTGGGCCATTTCGACGATGAGTTGCCATGCGACGTCGAATTGGCGAACCTTAGCCAAGGCGTCGATGAGGAGCGTGTAGGAGGCGTGCGTGAGAGGGGGATTGGGGAGGGTTTTGGCGTAGTGGAAGAGCGAGAGGGCTACCTTGGTGTGGTGCTTGAGGCGGAGGAGGGTTTGGAAGAGGAGGTCGGGGGTGAGGGTGATCCCGTGGAGCTGGAGACTCGATTCGGTGGCGTGGAAGGGATTGTGGTGCTGCAGGAGGAGATTCGACACCAATTCGGCGTCGTTTGAAGCACTTGGTGGCGGTGAAGCTGAACAGAAGCGGCGGAGGAAGCGCGGAGAAACGAAAGAGCTATGAAGGGGTTTCAGAAACGCCATAGCCATAGCGTGTTGTAAAATTAATTAGCTCTTATCAACACTTCGCATTGAATACTCCATTGAACGAGTTTGAGTTTCTTGTTCAAATGTTCATCGAGTAAAGTATTAATTGTTTGAAGATAACAAGAAAAGAGAAATATTTGTTTAAAATTAAAAAAATATTATAACAATTTATAATATATTTGATTAATTTTAAAGAATTACAAATTTATAATAATTAAATAATTAAAATAAATACATAAAAGATTATCGATTATTTAAAACAAATAATTAAAATAAATAAAATATCCAAATGAAAATTATTAAAACTAGTAGAAATACAAGCTCACGTGTCCGTAAATTTTATCATCATTTTTATAAAATAGTATTTTATTTTTAATTTAGAATAAAAAATAGAAGAGAATGTATCATTTTAAGGAAAGAAAAATAATAAAAAATTTATAATTAAGTGTTTTAAGAATGGAGAAAAATAATAAATTTTTATTAATTATATTGAAAAAATATAATAAAACATATGATAAATAAGATTAAAGATTAAGATAAATAAAATATTAGACGATGATAATAAAATAATTAAAAAGAAAATTATTTTATATATTATATGATTGAGATTCTTGTAATAACTTATGTTGATTGACGAGAGTTTTTTTATTAGAAATTAAGTATAATTTAAATAGGAGCAATTGAGATGAAACAAAGTTAGAAAATTTAAAGAAATTTATTTTTAATTTATTAATTATTTATTAATAGAATATTGTCTTGAAATCCTAAGATCCAAGAACGAAAATGAAGTAAATTTCACACCTAAAAATAACATGCAAGTGTTCAAAAAAAGAATGAAGCATGTACGTCAATTTTTCAACTTGCCCTTTAATAAAGGAGATATCCATTAAGCTCGAACGGTAAAAATTATTTCGCATGGAGTGATGAAGTTAAATGTCTCATGGAAGCGCACAATCTATTAGGGTTCGTCGTAAAGCCTGACCTTTTAGTTTGAAGACGAATTGATCGAGTTAAGTTTGAGTTATCATGCATAAGGGATCTAAATTATAAAACACAAAGTCGATGTTTAAGTCGTCAAGTTATGCTTAACCTATAAGTAGTCGATTGAGATTATTGAGCATTAGGATTGTTAGCCAATTTATAGAAGATCTGAGCTATTCTTACTGGAAGGTGTTAAAACAAATACTAAGGTATATATGAGATAAAATGTCACTCGGAATGTTGTAGATGATGTCAGATAATTACTGATTTGTCAGATACTTAGATAGTGATTGGTGTTAAGATGTGGATGATAAAAAAAAAGTACATCAAAATATGTATTTTTAATGGGGAACACAATATTCACTTGGCTCTCCAAGAAGCACTTGTGACATTGTCAATAGATGAAGTTGAACACGTAACAATATCGTGGAGTGTGTGACATGCAGTGTGAATCAGAAATTTGTTTAGTCATTGGAAGAAAAACAACTTGGTGCGACGATGATCTGAATTGATAATAAGTCAGTCATTGAACTAGTGAAGAACTTGATCAACTATGAGAGGAGTAAACATATTTATGTGCGACTTCATTTCATCTGATAACATGTGAATGAAGGAAATGTGAAGCTCGTGCTTGTGACAAGCTGAGATCAAGTTGCTAATATATTCACGAAGTTATTATCTACGATGTTGTTCGAGAATTGCAAGAAGTTGATGGGATGAAGAATGGAAGAAGCTTAGTTAGAAGGATTAGGTCATTAGGTTAGTCTTTAACCGATTTTAGTAAGTTGAAGATGGATTTAATTTTACGGGGGAGTTTTGTTTGATAAAGTTAAATAGAAAATAATAAGTTTAAAAGTTAGTTAGAATATTTTGATTTTGCAGATATCTTGGGTAGTTAATATTATGATTATGGGAGTTATTACTTTGATTTTGATAAGTTAATGCTAGGGCTTTTAGAAAGTCATTGCAGTCTTTAAATACCAAAATGTAATTATTTACTTCGTATGACAAATAATAATACTTAATATTCATACATTCTTTGTTGTCATAAAGAATAATTTCATTCTCATTTGAAAGCTAAGGTTCGACAACTTAGGTTAGAGTTGGGGAGCATAAGGAAAGGAAATGAGCCTTTGTTATAGTACTTTGGAAAGATCCAAGCTATTGTTGATTCTTTAGCTGAAATAGGTTGTTATGTGTCTAAAAAATATCACATTGAAGTGATCTTGGGAGGATTGTTGGAGGAGTACGAGGAGGTCCTAAATGTGACACAAGCTTTTGAGGGTTTGGTTGATGTTGATAACAAATAGACTTAGAGGAAACTTAATATTATTAATTTTTGTTGTACAAACATTTTTGTTGTACGAAAACAAATTATACAACAACCATTTATAGGTTCAAAAATCGATATTATGTTTTAACTACTTGACAAGACAATAACGATTGTAATAGCTCAATAATGACAAAAAAACAATATTTCAACAAACATTTAATTTTACCTAACAAAACTCATTTGTAAAATTAAATGTTTCTCTCCCACTGACTGAGATCAATCATCAATCGATTTGACCAATCTAAGAGCTTCTCCCATCCTTCACCCTAGATCCGACTTGTTATCAACTTTTCATCTCTTTTCTTTTGACTGAGCTTGATCAATGGTTAACCTACAAGTTTCTCATTTCTTGAATACATGTTTCACCATAACAAGTCGGGCATAACTCAACAATTCGGTCATCACCCATGTGTCATTGCGCTTTATAACTTGGATCTTCTCGTCCATAACAACTCGACTCTTCTCGTCCATTACAACTTGGCTCTTCTTGTTCATACACAACTCAGACAAGGGGGAAAAGTCATTCTATTTATCAGACCAGTGATCATCCTCTTCAAGTTCTCTCACACTCAACACTCAAACCCCAACTCTTAATACCAATTTGATAACAAATAGACTTAGAAGAAATTGAATATTATTAATCTCCGTCGTATGCAAAAATGATACAATAGGTATTTATAGGCATTTTTCTAACTACTCGAGAAGACAATAAATGTCATAATTGCCTAATGATGACTAAAATACAATATTCCAACTAACATTTAATTTTACCCAACTAATATGAAAGTTTGTAATGTTGAAACTTGGATGTTAATCCTCGAAGAGAAACTTACAAGTGAATATCGTCATGCTGATGGTGAAGGAGGCCCTTCGATTCAACATGGCACTCCATTTTGCTCTGCTCGGTGTTCTACTATTGAAGGTAGTCGTGGAAGTCATAGATGAAGAAGCCATGGTCATGAAGACCGACGTCAATGCAAAAACTATTAAATAAAATTAAATAGAAAATAATTAGTTTAAAAGTTTATTAGAATATTTTGATTTTGCTTGTATCATGGGTAATTAATATTACGATTTTGAGAGTTATTATTTTGCTTATGATGAGTTAATACTAGAGATTTAAAAAGTCAAAGTTGCAGTTTTTAAATATACAAAAATATTTTTTTTAATTCGTATTTAAATATCCAAATGTAATTCTTTATTTCCTATAATAAAAAATTAATAATAATTCATTATTCAAAAAAAATTTGTTATCAAATTGATATAAGAGCTAGGGTTTGAGTGTTTGAGTGTGAGAGAGCTTGAAAGAGAGTAATGATTGGTCTAACAATTGTGTGGCCCTACCCTGATTGACAAAAGAAGACAACTATGATAAATACAGTCTTCAGATGAAAACCCTTTTTAAATCCCAAGATAATTTAGAGATAGTCGAGAAAATTTTTGAAGAACCACCAAAGAACACCAAAGGAATTTTAGGTTGGAAAAAATTAAATGTTAGTTGGAATATTTTTTTTTTTGTCATCACTAGGTAGTTATGACAATTATTATCATGTCGAGTAGTTAAGAATAAAATGCACATTTTTTAATATCTGTTGTATCATTTGTTTTCATGACAAAAATTAATAATATTTAGTTTTCTCTAAGTCTATTTGTTATCAAATTGGTATCAAAGAGGTAAGGTTTGAATATTGAGTGTGAGAAAGCTTGAAGAAGGAGATGACTGGTCTGACAAATAGTATGACACTACCCAATTGACGAAAGCGGTCAAGTACGATAATTGAAGTCTCCAGATGAAGGTACTTCTGATATCCAAAAGCATTTGGAAGATAATCAAAGATGGGTTTGAAGAACAAAAAAATGTCGAAGGTATGTCAGTCAACAACCGCGAACAAAGTGTTGAAAAGAAGCATGAGAAAGATAACATAACCATGTAAATGTATACCAAATTGTTGATTAATCCATTTTTTGAGAAAATAGCAAGTTCTAAAACCTCAAAAGAAGCATTGGGTGTTTTAGAGAGAGCATACAAGGATGATAACAAAGTCAAACAGATGAGGTTACAAACACTACACAATGAGATGCAGAGCATGAAGATGAAGGAGTTAGTAAGAGTTTCTGAATATGTCATACGTGTTGAAACAGTGACGACTCAACTTAGTTGGAATGGAGAGGTGTTCTTTAATAACCAAATTGTGGAGAAGATTTTGAGGTCGGTAACCGGTGATTTTGAGAATGTGGTGTGCGCAATAGAACAATTGAATGACCTATCGAATTTGAGAATGTGGTGTACGCAATAGAGCAATTGAATGACCTATCGAAGTTGATAGTATAAGAAAAAATCAACTCTCTTAAAGTCTATGAGCACCAGAAGAAGAAGAAAGAGGAGACCAACACTCAAGGAAGAGGACGAGGACATGGTCAAGGTGGTAAAGGTCGTGAGGACAAAGAAGGAGACCAACAAAACTGGCATGGTAGAAGATGTAATTGAAGAGAAGGTTGCATGATGAGTATTTAAAGTGTGACAAATATGACCACTATGTAAAAGATTGTTACTTAGAAAGTGTTACAATTATGACAAGGTTGGACATTTTGCGAAAGAATGTCGAATTGAGAAAAAGGTGGAAGAGACCTATCTTGCAGAGAAGACAAAAGGAATATTATTGATGACCGATCATAATTCGAC